CTTCTTAATATGTCTTTATTGATTTCAGAGAGAAGGGAAGGGGGGGGAGAGAGAGGGAAACATCAATGATGAGACATTGATCAGCCACCTCCTGCACACCCCCGACTGGGGATCACGCCTGCAACCTGGGCATGTGCCCTCACCGGGAATCAAACCTAGATCTGGATCCTAGTAGATGCTCAACCACTGAGCCACACCTGCCACACTCAGGGCACTTTATGTGCTGTGTTGACTTTTCTTGAAGGTTGGTGTTCGAGGAAAAGACATTGTTGTTCTTGGTGTGGAGAAGAAGTCTGTGGCCAAACTGCAGGATGAGAGGACGGTGCGGAAGATCTGTGCCCTGGATGACAATGTCTGCATGGCGTTTGCAGGTGAGCCTGGGGCCAGGAGAGGCTTTGGGAGACCTAGGAACTGGGTAAAGCCATTTCCTTTAAAGCAATGGCCTTTAAGTAAAGGGCCACGGTTTTTTGGTGGGGAGGCTCCCTGCCCTTGGTGGCTGGAGCAGAGGCTGTAGAAATAACTCCCCAGGGTGTGGGGTGCTGCTGTTACTTCCGCTGTCATCAGTACGTCCCTGGGTGTTGTTACTGTCTAGGGAGAGGTCCGGCTTTCCACAGCTGCTGTGCAGTGGGGGCCAGCAGGCTCTATGTTCTCAGCACACTCCTTGGCGGGTCCAGTTTGGGAACATCCTGGTTCTGCACTTGCCCAGTTTCACGTAGCCCAACACACACAACTCTTTGTGAACCCATGGAGGCTGAGCAGGCTACCCAGTTAGTCGGGTCGGTCTCGCAGGTGGACTCTGAGCTGGGCTTTAGAGGACTGGTTTTGGAATGCTTGCTGTCTGCTTATGTGATCTGTGTCTCTGACCGTGGCCAATGTGATGATGTGCTCTGCTGTCCCTGCAGGCCTCACTGCTGACGCCAGGATAGTCATCAACAGGGCCCGGGTGGAGTGCCAGAGCCACCGGCTGACGGTGGAGGACCCAGTCACTGTGGAGTACATTACCCGCTACATCGCCAGCTTGAAGCAGGTGGGTCCCACCTACGGCTCAGCTCTGGGCATGAGTGGTCACTGCTTGTTCCTGGAGGGTGTCCCGCTGTGTAGTGTGGGTGCTAGTGCGTGTCACTGCAGGGAAGTTGAGGCCTGCACTTGTCTTGTGCCCAGCCCTGCTTGTGCGTGTGTTTGCTGTCACTTGCCTGTGTTGGTGGTATTGTTCTCGTTGACGGGTGGGGGGCAGTCCATCTGCCTGTTTCTGGAGGGAAGGGATAGTTTTATCTTGCCTCTCTGCATGACGGTAACCAAGGAGTTGGGAGGGGCTGAAAGCCACCCTGCCCTATGGGGAATGGCTAGTTGTTTTTAAAACCAGCTGTGTAGCCAGATGTGTGTTTGCTGTCCCACTTCCGCATGGCCTCAGCTGTGCTCCATGGGGAGACCCTGGACTCAGCATGGCTGAGAAACAAAAGATGAAAGGGACACTGCTAGCAGTCACTAATGTCACTTGTTTAAACTAAAATAGTCTGGAGAGGGGCCTGGGATTGTGCTCATCCCTCACTAAGTGCAGTGAGGATGTCTGGTGGGCTCTGGGGCCTGTTGTGCTGAGACAACGTGACATGTTCCTTTTCCCACCAGCGCTACACACAGAGCAATGGACGCAGGCCATTTGGCATCTCTGCCCTTATTGTGGGTTTCGACTTTGATGGCACCCCCAGACTCTACCAGACTGACCCGTCGGGCACATACCACGCCTGGAAGGTGAGTCCCTGGAGAGCGGGACTGTGGCTGCATTGCCACAGTAAAGGGGCTTGGGAGGCCATGGGGTGGGGCCATGCATCCTACAAGTGAGTGTGCACACACAGCCTGTTTGTCCCATGACACTGCTGCTCACGTGGCAGCAAGGAAGTCATTGAACGGCCCTGTTTGGGAGGAAAAGGCAGCGAGCTATAAGGACACATGGCTTAAAGTGAAATGGCCACAAGTCTGTCAATAATGAAATGGTATATATTATTGGTGAGAATTGGTACAGGTCCAAATAGCCCTTGGCCGAAGGGGGGGCCCTGGGCAGGGCTGGGGGCCCTGGCTGCCCGCACGGCAGCGGTATCATTGGGCTGGCTCTGAATCGTCACATCCTATGCGTATAACACTCTCCCAGGCCAATGCCATAGGCCGGGGTGCCAAGTCGGTGCGCGAGTTTCTGGAGAAGAATTACACCGACGACGCCATTGAGACGGACGATTTGACCGTCAAGCTAGTTATCAAGGCCCTTCTGGAAGTAGGTTTGCCTTTGTAATCTGGGCTGGGTGGGGTGGATAGAGGGCTTGCTCTGCTCTACCAGCTCCTGCGTACAGCTCGCGCAGTCAGGGCCCAGCTTACAGCCAGGCGCAGGTTTCCTGGGCTCCAGCTGCTGCGGGAGCAGAAATTAGGACTGGGAATACTGGCTGGGAGTCCTGGGGTCTCGGGCTTCATTGAGACCATGCAGATGCTGATCGGTGAAGCCGAAGAGACAGAGAGGGGCTAATTGGTGGCCAGGCTGGGGTCCAGGCAGCAGGGGCTCAGTGTTGGGAGCCCAGCTGCTGTGCAGGAAGAGGGACCAGAGACCCAGCCAAAATCTGACTGCCAGGAGACAAGAGGGAGTGCAGAAGCTGTGGGTGCTGGGATTTTAGTATGTCTGGCCTGTCCCCTCGTGTGGCAGTACTGGGTTTGTGTGCACAGATTATCATTTAAGGAACTTAGCAGAACTGTTTGGTCCTAAGGTGGGCGCAGCTGTCTGATACTCTTCTCTCCCTCCCTCCCCCAGGTAGTTCAGTCAGGCGGCAAAAACATCGAGCTGGCTGTCATGAGGCGAGACCAGCCCCTCAAGGTAAACCCACGTCTGTTGCCCTGTTTTCGGTGGAGCGCTCCTGGGGATGGGCAGGGCAGTGCTGGTTGACAGCGCTGCTGGCTTTGGCACCAGGCAAGGCTCCCCGCAAATGGGTGGGAAACAAGAGCTCCAGGGCTGACCTCCGAGGTCACAGATGGTGCTCGCGTGTTCTGGCACGCGGACGAGCCGTCAGCAGCTGTGCAGGTTGGCTTCTGCTTTTCATTAATCCCCTCATGGAGGCCACATGGCCTTGTGCTGCAGAAGCAGCTGTAGGGAGTCCAGGGAGCCCCCTCCCCATGGGGGCCCTAGTGCACTGGGGCACCTGGTGGGCTCACCAGAAACACTCTCTTTGGTAGATTTTAAATCCAGAAGAAATTGAGAAATATGTTGCTGAAATTGAAAAAGAAAAGGAAGAAAATGAAAAGAAGAAACAAAAGAAAGCATCGTGACGGATAAAATACTTGCTAGGAGCGATTTTTAAATGCAAATCATGGGTGATGCGCGAACCAACGTGCAGGCGTTGTCCGTGTCCTACAATAAATTTCCATGTTTTTTAACTTCGCCTGTTTTACGGCTATGCATCTTTTGGGTAGAATTATGGTAGCTCTTGTGGAAGTGGCGCTGACCCCTCGTAGTTAGCCTCTAAAGGCTTTCCTGAGTGTGAGTTTTCCTCCCCAGTCCTTGTTGCCAGGCTCCAAGACAATAGCCACTAACCGAGTGGGGGGTGTCCCTTGGGGCCTGTGGAAGGCCTGCAGGGATTCTGAGTGCAGGCTGTTCCAGGGGTGGCATGGATGCTGCAGGTAGAGGCATCTGGCACTTCTGGTTGAGGCGGGAAACACTGTTTCCCTCCTTTAGAGGTTCCAAATAGGTCAATGGCTTCTTTGGCCTTTGTTTGAGCTCCTAATTAAGGTCAGGGGCAGGAGCACAAACAGCCTTCAGCAGCAGGTGTGTTCAGAACCAGCCTATGTTTATGGTTTCACTAGGTAAAGTATTAACGTTTCTCACATTGTCTCCTTTGAGGTTTCTGGTGCTGGCTGTTCCCAACCCTCTCGCGTTTTTATTCATGCCTTCATCTGAGAACATGTGTACTGATTTTAGAGAGATGAAGGGTGAGAGACAGATACACTGATTGGTCGCCTCCTGCACGAACCCACACCTAGGGTGTGTTCCCTGACTGGTAATTGAACCTGTGACCGTTTGGTGTACGGGATGGTGCTCCCACCAACCAAGCCACCCAGCCAGGGCTCCTCTAGCCTCTAGGCCAACAGCAGTGTTACAGTCCTCACTCTCTACAGATAACCCTACTAACAGGCCCTTTTGCAGCCGCCCCCCCCCTGCAAGGCCATGGTGATGTGACCGGTGACCTTTGGGCTGGTTGCCCCTTACAACTCTGCTTCCAGGATTCCAAGGCCCCCTTTTCTGCCTCAGTCTGCAGCTTTTCTTACTCCACATTCAAGGGCACATGTAATCTACCTTCTAAAAAGGAGTCAAGAAACCCAGATACGTAAGGTCAGCATAAAATGGGTAATTGTCAAAATGGCTTTCAGTTTTAAGACTTGAGTAGGTAGCAAGGTTAGTCACAGGTGTTAACTATGACCTGCCTATATGTAGAAACTTGAGCAGAGAAAATACCTGTTTAGTGCAACTGTTGAGTTACCCAACTAGTTTCAAATTCGTACCCTGGCTGCCTGAATCTAGCATGTGCACCTCAGAGGATTATTTTCATTGGTCAAAGATGTTGCCCCAAAAATTGAAGATTGCAAACTTGTTAAATTGTGAGTGATGGCCAGGCCCAGACGTTAGAGGCCTGCTGCCCAGTCCTGCTCTGGGCCTGACTGGACAACAGGCAGGTACCAAGGGAGGAGAGACACAGCTGACCAATAAGGTTGCTTCTAAAGTCACCCAGAAACCCATCATGAGTCAGAAACCAGCCCTGTGTGGTCCAGGGCCCAGCCCTGGAACAGGTTCTCAAGAACTGGGAACACGGAAGCTAGTGGCCTGGAGGCTGCGGTAAAGGGCCACTTCTGAAGCAGGTTCATCTGTGAACCGAGTTTTGGAAACTACTTTGTGTCAGGAAAGCAGAGCCATTCACCCCGGAAGGGTGGCCCACAGTGAACGGGCCTGGCATTTGCCCACACCAGCTGGGTCCAAGAGCATCAGAGTCCCCCAAGGCCAACCCGCTAGGGGCCTGCCAGCAGCTGCCTGGGAACATGCTGGCATGTCAGGCGTAATGGGCTTCAGGCAGTCAACAACCACTTTCAAAGCAGAGAAGGTTTTAAAGTTTGTGTGTTTATTTTAATTACAATTTACATTACTCCGACAGAGTAGCCCCACTGCTACGTTCTAATTCTTAGCCATTAAATCCTACAAAAATAAACCCAAGCTTTTACACTAACTTAATCAATACAGAACCAAAATCTTTATAGCTATTTAGGCATTTAGTTACCAAGGTGCTTATGTTCACCACGATGCCCTGTCATCAGGGGTGCATGCTGTACTAAGCTGACCCACTTACTCATGCAACAGTTTATATCCCACCTCCCTCCACACATCTACAAAACAAACACAACTATGTACAACTCCGAGGAATATGCTCGGTCAGCCGAGCTTACAAAAAAGACTGGCTCACTTCCAAGAGAATGAGACTCGAACAGTGGCTGGAGTCCAACACTGGCCAAGGCAGGGGCTGGCAGGGCAGAAAGGGTGGGGATGTCACCCAAACCCCAATTCTTATGGAAGCCAGGCTCTGAGCAACAAACAGTTCCCAGTTCGTGTCCAAGGCCCCTTCTTGTGCCTCCAAGAGTGCCTCCTCACCCTGTCAGACCCCAACCTTGAAACCACCACCCTGGACATCAGGCGGTCTGTCTGCTCACAAAACATGATCTGTGGCACCCCCATGTTCCCTGCCCAGGGCACACCGACCCCACACCCCCTGGGCTGGCCCTGCCTTGCTCCTTAGACCCCACCAGTGGCAGTGGGGGTGCAGGCCAGCAGCACCAGTGCCAGTGGGTGACAGAGCTGTGCCTGGCTGCCACATGGCCAAATGAGATTTGGTTCCACTTTAAAAGTCAAAGCTGTCAAAAATATACAAAGTGAGGATCAAGCTTTCGCTCTAGAAACCATTTTGCAAAACACCAAAACCTTAGGTTAGACTGTGCATAACTAAAGAGGAAAGACCCAGAGACCTCAGAGAGGTCTCCCTAAACGCTCCCCGAACATAAGCAGTTCTAACTTGGACCATATCCAAGTATATCCAAGTTCCGTGACATCCAAAACAAAAGCAGTAAACAATGACACAATGTCTGTCTGCCCAGTTAAGTGCAGCGTCCTCACTCAGCTTCGCCTCTGCCGCTGCTTCCACAAGAGCCTGCAGGAGGGGACATGACACCACGTGAGCACACTCAGCAGGTGCCTCCCACCCCATCAGTCCAGGGCTTTCCAGATACCCCCATCACAGCCCACCATGAAAACTATTTCTGTACACATGCCACAGGAAGTAGATCCAGGCCCCCCCCCCACCTGCTGAGACAGGTCAGCACAATAACCCACTCACTGCCCAGGCCTTAAGGGACACAGTCACCAGGGACCTTGTTAAAAAGGCAGGGCCAGCCTGCGCCGAGACCCTGGCTTGTCACAAGCTCTCCTGGCTGACCCCACTGGAGTGACAGGCACCCAGCCCTCCTGCACGGAGCCCACTGTGACGCTGGGGCCCCAAGTCCCTAAGGCCCCTCGTGATTCAGAGGGTCGGCTCTCAGCTTTTCCTGAAGAGGTTCCAAGCCTGGGTACCCACATCTCCATGCCCTCCCCTCAGGACCCCGCAGGTCCCCAACTCACCTCCAGCTGCTGCTTCACACCCGGCCAGTCCCGGCTCTGTGGGAAGTCGGGTTGCGCCGGGTGGTGCCGCTGCCCCTGCCCCCTCGCAATCCACCCCGGAATCCACGGCCACGAAGAAACCTTCCCGACACCCCAAAGGTCTCCGTGTTGAGCTTCCTCTCCTCAGCCCATGTGGTCCGCCTGGAACTGAACCAGACAAGGGCAGTGAAACTGACTGCAGAGGCGCCCACCCCAGCTTTCCAAGCCCGGAGGAAGGACAGTCACTGTGTTCCTGGAGCCATTCAAGGGGCAACTCAGCCAGCCCCCTGCAGCCCGACATCCAACACTATAGGTGCTCTGGGCCGTATTTCCAACCAGGCCTGTTCCTCACTGGACTGGGCTGCTGGGCACGGAACTCACATCTTTGTTCCCTCACACAAGCATGTGACACTAGTGTGCTCCAAAGGAAGCCTCGCTGCTTGCTTGGTCCAGGCTTGTGCAGTCTCTAAGACCTGGAGCATATCACAGACCCCTCCAAAGAGGTTTCTACTAGATGAGGGATCTGGGCTAGATGGGCAGGGTCCCCAAGAACGTGCTTATGCTTTGGGGGTGCTAGAGACCAGCACAGCATGGCTCCAGCACCCTTTGTGCTCCCTGAGCACCTCCAGTGAGGACCCGTGTCTTCTTACAGGCCTCTTCATGTAAAGAAACAGCAGCTGAGTCCCAGCTGTCTTCGAGGCCAACAACTGACTCTCCTCAATCCTGCTATTAAACCCATCAGCCCCACCTTCAAAACAGTTCAGAAGCCAAGCCACACCCACCCTCCCCTTGAGACACCAACACTATTTGAAAGGTGGCCACCTGCAGCCACTTTCACCGAAGACCCACGTGGTAAAAACATCAGGTGGCTTGCATCCTGGGCTCCCAACCTCTGACAGCTCCCCGCAGCACAAAGTAAAAGCCACTCATTACCATGACCCACAAATTCTTGTGTGGATGCACCCCATCTTCATTGCTTCCCCAGCCCTCTCTCTCTGACCTGGCTACAGCATGCACACTTCCCACCCGCTCCCCACAAACAGGCTTGAAGACCTCAGCATGCTGCTCTCTTCGCCCACCACACTCCCAGCCCATTTTCCCTTCACCGCCTGTTCTCAAAGCATTTGTATCTTATACATGTATCTCCCACCTCATCCACCTTTCCCTGCCAGAAAACCTGAGTGCAGGGAGGTGGGGATCCCCAGCTTCCTTTCTGCTGCACCCTCCGTGCTCAGCAGTGTGCCTGGCACTCCGCTCACAGAGTGGATGGATCTGAGTTTCTATAGCTGCCCATTCTGCAGACTTCTTTCATGGTCTAGCTTGTTCTCGGGGCAACACCTGAGCACCAGTTATCAGGTGCTGAAAACAAAGCACACAAGGGGCCCCAGACTCAAGCATCTGATGAAAGAACACCCGGAACAGAACACTCCTAACACTCAGACAAGTTGCCTCAGGCCTCCAGGGTCAGCTAGGGACTAGTAAGCAAGTCCATAGTCACTCAGCTGTGAGTAGGGCCAGCCAGCCTTATGGGGAGGGTGGAGAAGCCAGGAGGGAAATGGGAGTGGAGCTCGGGCAGACCCCTCAGTGCCTGTGACTGCCAGGGCCTCCCATGCTGCCACCACTGGGACTGATATATCCACTGTGGCAAAAATGTGAATAGGATGGAGAGATCTGCCCTGAACTTGAGAGCTGAGTGTCATCACCAAGAGAGTTAGCTTGTCCTCAAGATTTGAGGCAGTGTGTGTGTCTTCCCACCAGCTCACTGGAACCTCAGCCCCCTCCCCATCCCCCTGCTTCCAACCTGGTCTTGAGTTCAGAGGAGATGTTGTCAAAGAAGGACTTGGACTTGTCGTAGTAGCAATTGGGCCCCAGGTGGTCCTCCTCAGCAAGGGCCTCGTCACTCTGGGTCACCACTGCTGGATCCTTTTCCTCCCCTTTCTCAGCTTTGTCATCTGCACAAAGAAGCAGAGCCCACAGAGCTGCTGGGAGGCAGACAAAGCACCTTTGTCCCGGGCAGGCCCCGTCGCCACTCAACAGCCAACTGACTGCTCTGTGCTAAGTGACCTCTCTCTCCAGCCCCTACCCGCTGGCCTTGACTGCCTGGGCCATGCCATCCATCCTATAGGGTACAGCTCCCACACTGGCCCCCAGAGCCACAGCTATCTTTCCTTTGACTGGCTCTGTGGATACTCCTTGGGGAACAGGGGCAATTTTCACATGACAACTCAGACCTTTGAAATTGAGCTTCTTCTTAAATTCCTTGTCCAACTCCTCTCGGTTGAACTGGGCATTTGCACTCTCAAAATCAAAATCACCCTCAAATTTGATCGTGTTCTCCTTGATGTTAGTTGGACGGCTCTGCCCTCGGGAGCGATTCCTTGTTCGTCTGTTCCCTGTGAGGAGAATGACAGTCATGGCTGAGGAGCCACCAACCCGACATGACTGAGTGCAAGGCAGACAACAAAGAGGGGAGAGAGGAGAGAGCACACCGAAGCCACCAGGGAGCCCCAGCACCCCTGAAATCGTACCCAGAGAAGCAGGCAGGGGCAGGCAGAGAGCAGGCCCAACAAGGCAGCAGCTGTTACCTGATCTCCTCCTCTGGGGCCTCCTGTTCTCGTCGTTCACCTGCCCTGGCGTTTGCACAGCGGCTGGCTGAACTACATCTAAGGCGCAAAAGGGGATAGTAAGGCAAGCGCCTGCCAGAGCAGAAGCCGGGATGGAAGCAGGTGGCACCACCCCAGGGGACATGCAGCAAGGGCCTGCCCTGCAAAAAGCATGTGGTATTTAGGAGAGGGCGCAATCCCTTTTACAAAGCCCCCAGGCAGCAGTGTGCATGGTGGGAAGCGGGAGCATATCCCAGGAGCGAGTGTTTCAGTACCGCTGGCGCTCTTGCCGCTGGGCGGGGCCGGGCGCCCATTGAGCTGCACCCCCACAGTGCCCTTGCCACCGGGTAACAGCTTTTTGGCATTCAGGTTATCAAGAGAGCCAGTCTGGACAGCCTGCTCCACCATGGGGCTCTTGCCAACTGGGACGGATGGAAAACCAGCTCCTGGGTTGGGGAGAGAAGGAGGGTTGAAAACAGAGAAAAGGAGAAAGCTCCCAGCCCCCACAGACACTTCTGTTCAAGCTGGCACGTCAGGCAGGGGAGAGGCAACCACCCAGAGAGGGTCTACCCAACCCAGGCAAAGCTTCCCCCTCTGCGCTAACCCCAGCAGCAAGACCAGCTCAGCCCGGGAGCCCTGAACCCCAGGCTCTGTGTTAGGAAAGCCCAAGGAGGGAAAAACACCTGGCCACAAGCGAGCACCTCCCAGGTGGTTTAGAAATGGCTTTCGGAAAACCACACAAGCTGACCCCAAGGGAGCTTGTTGGTCCCAAGATGCTGGTGCATCCTGGGTGTGAGGATTTGTTTCATACTGGTCCACTCTGAACAAGAACCATCCCGGTCTGGAATTGTGCAGAAAAATGCAGTGGTCACCCATTGGAGTTAAGCTCTAGAATACTGTCATTTTTGCATAACATGTAATAAAAGCAGAAAGGATGAATGTCGCTGACTACAGAGAAGTACAGTCTGCAGTGCTCTTGAAAGTAAGGCTCATCATGAAGAAACGGAGGCTTCCCCAGGCTGCCCTTGGCAACAGGGCTGCACGCCCAGCCCCGAGCACAGAACGTGGATGCTCAGAAACCAAGCTTCACAAGAGGGTCCTCTGAAGCCAGAAGAGGACAGGGGATGGGCCATACTCATCAACTGTCTAATCCCCTCTCCTGCAGTCCCGGGTCTGTGGGTGGAAGTGTATGAGGGTCTGAGAGAGAAAAGACCAGCCCTAACCTTGGGCACCTGGTCCGGGAGCAGCAGCTCAGGACAAGTGAAAACAGTGATTTTCACTTTTTCCCCCAATGGAACAGAAACCAAAGAAATTACTACGACAAATTCATTGTAACTAGATCAAAGTACTCCTAGGGCTGACTGGAACAGCCTTGTCACTGGCATCTGCAGTGTCCCTACGATGGGCACTGCCCCAGAGCACTTCCTCTGGCCTGTCATCTTCCCCAGTACACCTTCCTGGAGCCACAGCTCCTGACTGCGCCCTCACATTCCAACGCACAGGGCAAGAACCTTGGGCCTGTGTGCTTTGTATGACACTGGCGGTGCAGGTAAACCATCATGCGCAGGAGCGGTTTTCAGGGTCCTAAGAATGGGTGTCTCAGTAATGTTTAAGAGGGGAGAAAGCATTACTCTGTGATCACTGAAGGACACTAGCGCTGGTGCAGGACACATGCAAAGCACAGGCTGACAGGCACCATCCTGGGCTAAGTTTCCACCACGGTGTGGGCCGACCTCGGGCAAAACGCAAAGAACCAACACCAGGCAAGGAGAGAAAACCTGCACTGGCAGGCAGGTGGTGCGCACCAGCATCAACAGGCCAGTCACCAGGCCACACTGTTTGCCTGTCAACAGCTCGAGCCAGTCACCCAGCTTTAAAGTGGCTTCAGTGTACATAGCCACCTGAGGTCCCGATTTTGACGGGTGAGGAATGTGCTCAGTGGGCTCCCCTGCAGTCTTCCCCAGCAATCCAGACCACGGCAGAAACCCAGGGAAACGGCCCTCTGAGCAGAGGGCAGTGCCCACATGTGGAAGTGACGGTACAGCAAGGGAAGGGCTCCCTGAGTCTTTCTAGCCCTTCTTTAAAACAAGACGCTAGTCAGGACTGTGTGCTGAACCAGAGATGCAGCTTAACTGATCCATGGCTCAGCCAATTCTGTCACAGCCACTGTCTGGTCTACGGTTTACCCCCCTCACTCTCAGGATGGCAAGACAGCGTGCAGTTCTCCCAAACTGCCGTTACCCTTGGAAGTGAGCTGGTGTGGCTCTGAGGACATGTCAGGCTCTGACACGGGCTGTGGAGATGGAGAGGAGCTAGGGCTGGAGGCTGCGGCTGAGGCTGGAGGGCTTACCAGCTTCTCTAAAAGAAGAGAAAGGAGAAAAGAGCAAAAAGAAAGGGCACAGATAAGTAATGAGAAACTTGTCTTGCGTTTAGCAGGCTTGGAAAGAGCCAAGCGTCTGTCCTAGGACACTTTGCTCACACAAACCTGTTCTAGAAACACAGGGAGCCGGGCCAAGGGCACCACCACACTAGGAGCAGCAGTCAAGACAACAGGACTCAGAAGCAAGGGACCCACACAACCGTTGAGGGCCTGATCACACCCTATTGCTAGAGCAGGAGCAAGGTGGGCGAGGCTGCCAACCCCACAGCCTGACTGCAGAGCTTCGGCCAGGACTGGGTGGACCCTTGCTCTATGTGCTGGGATAGTCTTACTCCAGGGTTATTCAACCTGGAGGAAACAATTTCTGAGTGAGGCATCAACAGGAGAATGAAGAAGGAAAAACCTGGCGGTGCTGTACTTAAGTTTTATATTTACAGGCTTACAAATGAGCAAGGAGTCAGGCGCACTGTGATTACACCTGGCAGTTATCAGGTCTTCACAGCAATATACCACGGCCTCCCCCCAGACCCAGACTGACACTAACTGAATGTGGACTTGCTTCACCTGTTCCAAAACCCAGTCTGCTACCTCTCTTACTCTCAATGAGTAGTCACTGAAAGTCCCAGCACTGGAAGTACACAGTGTCCCCCATCAGGAGTCGTGGCCCACTTCCTGGAGGTCACCACACGCAGTTTAGCAGATAGAAACAGGTTACTCACCTAGACCCAAGGAAGCTGCATACTGCTGACTGAGCAGGGAGCTGGCCGCCAGCTGGCTGTAGGGCGGCATCCCTCTGAAGGGGCTGTAAGGCACGTGCGGCTGGAAGGAGGAGCCCGAGCCCAGGGAAGACTGGGCAAGGAGACACACAGATGAGAGCAGCGCCAGGCCCCCGTCACCCTGCCTGGAGAGCACTGTTCAGACAGGGACACACAGCCCGACCTGCCAGCCTGCTTCCTGGAGGCTTGGGTGATGCTCAGAGGACTAAGCTCCCAGGATGGTCTAAAGGAGCTTACAGCTGCCTTTTCCACATTTTATCCCCAGTTCCACCTGTCCAGGTAATTCTCACTTGAATTTCTCCTAACTCAATTAAGCCCTCTGCCTGCCATCAGGTAGTATAGGCTCTGCAAAGAGAAGATGTGTCATCCTTGGCTTTACCCTACCCCCAACAGAAAGAAGCCCAGGTGTCCCCATGCCCTCAGGCCCACTTGGGGGTTTCTCTGTGCAGTCTGAGCTCCAGAGGAGCCAGCGAATACTTAATTTACAAGTCAAGAGAAAACATTAACCTGGGTAATCCTGGGCAAAACACACCATAACACAGCAGGCAAATTCAGTGTCCCACAGCACTGCAATTTAACATCTGGGCAGAGTTAGAGAACAAGTTCTGCTGTCCCTGCTAGCACCTATGCCACAGACACCACGCCACTGGGGCTTTGGGACTGACTCACCAGAAACTATGGGCAAACATGATTCCCCAAGTGCACTCACCCCCCCTCTTCTGACACTGACACACACACACAGCGTGTCTCACTCCACACACACTACTACGTGCTGCAGAAGTTAAGCCTTTCCACAGCAACACCAACATCCTGGACAAAAATTAAACAACTTTTCATTAAAAAGCCATTCCTTGAGTTGAGAGCTCTGGCCAAGCAGATGACACCAAGTTCCACTTGGACTCCAGCACCCCTTAGAGAGCATGTCCCCACAGGCGTGGAGCCTGCACTCACTTGGACGATGGCAGGGTCCTGAGGGAGCGCATGCTGAGCTTTTGGAGGTTCACACACCGTGATGTCTTTGATATCGCTTCCCCGGAAGATGATGTACTCGTAAATTTCCTCTCTCGGAGGGGCAGGCCTATCTGTGGGACGGTCTTCAGTACCAAAAGACCTCACTTAGGACCAGAGGAAAAAAAACGCATTAGTTGTTGTCCTCAGCCAAATGCATTCAATCAACCCTCTCTAGCTGCAGCCTCTGCCTGGGTGCTATCCACAGCCCAGGACCCAGTTTCCACATTTCAACTATTCACCAATGCCCCCCCCCCCC